TTCTCCTTTTGAACCAAACACTATAAAGGATCATATCTTTTTATTTCATCTACTTTACATTTTCTAGTTTTTTCTAATAAAGCATGTACCTTTTAATAGGTCGGCCATCTTGGAGATGCATACGAGGAGTGGGTTCATCAGCCAATTATCACCAAAGAAAGCCCAAAATTTTTTGCAAATGGACTTTTAGAGGTAATTTTTAAAGTTAGAGATTTTTACATATCTATACTACAGTACTTTAAAAACTTATTTACATCAATATTGAAGATTTACCCATTATATAATGTCTTAGAATTTAATCTTCCCTATTTTCTCTCCCTCTTCTTCATCATCTAACCTAGAAGCTTAAGTTATGTGGCCCAAGTAGTTACAACCTGAAGCTTGCTGCATACAAAGTTTAGGCTCATATTCTCTGCCCCTTGACATTAAGATTTTCTTCTATGAGCATGGTCCGATTAATGGTATAGTTCAAAGGAAAACCATTTGAACAATAATGACAATTTGTTTGCTTGTTAACGAAAGTTCTTTTTTTACAATTTCAGAGTTAGAACGTAATTGATATAGCGAATCTTCATTGACAAACATTAAAAAGTTTCGAAAATTAAATTTTGTAAAATTATTATTTGTTTGGATTGGGTGTTGTTGCAAATGATTGGGAACATCCTTTGGAGTTTAAATCTCAATTTTGAGAGAATTTGGTGAAGATTCGAGGTGGTTTTGGTTGAAATTTTAAATTGAAACTCGAAAAAAAAGACTAAACAAATTATATATTTTTTGTATGTCGGGCGTAGAAACAACATACAAAATATATACAACTAACATAATTGTATATAAACGATATAAAAATTATATGTAAATTGTAGTTTTGACCAGATACTATACCAAAAAAATTATTTAAATTGTAGATTTTGACTGAATTTGTATATATTTTGTAAAAAAAAATTAGTTACTTTCTGAAAATAGAAAAACTTAGATAAACCGGGTAAATAAGTTTAAATTCTGTATATATACGAAAAAGTCTCTTTTAAGTTTAAGCAGTTTTAATACTATCATGTTATCTTTACCTATTTTAGTAGGCAATTTGCCTTATTTTTTAGATTATAAATTTTACAATTAAAGGAGCTTACTTGTAGATATCATTTGAAAAACCTGGTAGTTTAAAAATTTACAATGTATACTTAAACTCACTCTGATTATTCAATTCATTAGACATGTAAAAGAGAATATAATTTCTTATTAAGATTTAGTTATCTAAAACGTATTTATCTTCCTAACGTGAACTTTAAGAATAGAAATGTAGCACACTAACTTTCTGAAAAGAAAAAAGAGAGGGTATTTGGAAGGAGGAAAAAACGAGTTTTTAACTTGTAACAGACTAATGATTTGGGCATTTGGCTAAATAAATGAATTTTTGACTAATACTAGGTGGTTTAACAAGAGCATTTTGATCTCACCTCGTCTCTCTTCGCTTTCATCCATCCAATCACGAGTCACATGGGCACCTAGAATACTTGCGATTTTTCCTTTAAGATCTAACTCTAAGAGTAAGAAGATATTATTTATTTCTTCCTCACACTGATGACTATACCATAGTATAGAAGAATTTTTATACTATCAAATCAATAATAAAGTATATACATAACACAGACAAGCTTGTTACAACAGTATAATTAATTACACGGATGAATTTACAGTGTGAATAGGATGTATTTTATTTCCCCTTAATAGAAACAAGATTTGAGTTGGTAATGTTTGATGTGAAACAGTTTTTGACTCGGACCCCATGGTGGGCAATTCCTTCAGTGTGGGTACCAGTGGTAGGGTGGTTGGTTTCAATATCTGCAAACAGAGGGCTTCCTTCTCCTCACTTAGCTGCAACTCTTGTTGCTGGCATCTTTACTTGGACATTGCTGGAGTACTCTTTACATCGTTTTCTTTTTCACATGAAACCATCTGGATATTGGTACGTACCTACCTATATCCTATTTCTTATATATATAATATAATATGTTCATTTCCAAGTTTAATTTAAGAGCACGAATTTTATTGCCAGGGGAAACACACTTCACTATCTTATTCATGGTTGTCACCATAAGCACCCAATGGATGGACTAAGGCTTGTCTTTCCCCCTGCTGCTACTGCTATTCTTCTTGTCCCTGTAAGTTTCTACTGATTACTGATACTTACTTCAGTTATCAATATTACTATTTCCTGTATCCCAATTGTTATATTTTTTTTTCTATTCTTGGCAAATTTCAAGTCAAGATATTCTTTCTATAATAATAACCATGACAATGGCGATGATACTAAGCAGTAACAGGAAAAAACCAATCTTGTTCTCGCTATGGCGGTTCTAGAAAAGACCAATCACATTGGCTCTATTGTACGCAATTTTATCTTACATTTATGCAAGAAGCTGTTTCCACATACAACTTAGTTCTCGATTGAAGCATTGTTTTGCATTTTTTCACAGTGAAGTTGTTCTTATATTCTGATATTCTACTATCATTTACTGCAGCTATGGAGTCTAGTAAAGCTGTTAGTACCTTTCACCTATGCCCCTGCCTTTCTAGGAGGAGGTTTGTTGGGTTATATCATGTATGACTGCACCCATTACTACTTACACCATGGGAAGCCATTGAAAGGAGTTTCCCATTCTCTCAAGGTAGATTTTTTATCCAAGAATTTACATATGTATTACTTGTATTCTGAATGGTCACATCTAGTCTAGTGTACATGATAAAGTAAAATAGGATAATTATCATGTTAATTATCCTATCACTTATCTTACCTTATGCGATTTTATTTAGTTACATAAACATGATAAAACTTTTTGTAGAAGCCCTTAGTGGATTAGACAGACCATTAAATTTCGGATATCGAATGCCTAAATAAAAAAGAAACATAATATTAAATGTGAATTACTCGTGGAGATGTTTGTTCTTGTTAATGTTTTGTTTTTAACTTTTATTAATGTGTTATTCTTTTTTCCTTTTATTTCCTTGGTGTGGTGTATTATAGAGATATCATATGGACCACCACTTCAAAGTTCAAGATAAGGGATTTGGAATTACTTCAGACTTTTGGGACAAGATCTTTGGTACACTACCTCCAAAATCTAGCAAGAAAATTGGATGAATTAAACTGAGGCTTGAGAAGTTTCTCATGAGCTGCTACAAACTTTTGTTCTTTGAGTCTAGCTGAAAAAGGGAAGAATGATAATGGCAGTGTTCATTTCATACTGTCGGAGAAAAATATAAATATGAAAAATTGCTGTTAATGTGACTAACCTAACAAGTATATGTTTTGTTTTCTATTTCTCTTTCTTCTTTTTTTTTTTTTGGGGGGTGGGGGGCCTCAAATTTGTAGCCTATTTTTCTGCTTTTGTTCATTCCGATCTATAATTTCCCTTACTTTTGGTTTTTAAGTCTTTTAGGAACTCTTTCTCGCGATGAAAATACATTAGGGTGACACACATGTGGTTCACATTGTAAAGTAGTGTTTCTTGAAGTGTACTATGAGAAAGAAATACTTGGACAATATGTAGTCTATTACTTATCTTATTATGAATGTCGTTACTTTTCTATTGTGCAATTAGATTTTGACAATAACCTTCAATATTTATGCAAATCGGTTGGTCATATCGTGGTGCCGAGTTAGGCTTATGTGTTGACGAATGTAGAGATTGGTACGAACTTTTTGGGTTGAAGAAGAAAAGGAAAAGTTTTGGCAAAAGAAGATATTTTTGCGGCCCACTATACGGCCGCAGAATTACTCTACGGGCCGCATACAGTATATTTGATATGTTTCATCATTGCGTCAAGTAAAATGACAGACACATCGCGAATAATATGCTTTTATTAGTGAAAACTCTTTTAGTAAAAGTTTTTCACACAGTAAAAAGAAGAAATGAGCTGTTTCCGTCTGCTGTGGGTGCACAGACGTAAGCTTTTCATCTATGGCGCATAATTACTCTCTTTTCTTTTTCGCGTGTGTGATATGTATTCTTTTCGGAAAGTTTTCACTTTATTAGTTCCTCTAATATGTAATCTATGAACTTGATATTTTTGCTTTTCATTTTGCGATTGTTGGGTTATCCGCTGACTACTCTTTCAAATTTATGGCACTGAGATGCATGCACAACTGCTTAATTGCCTGGAGAGATTCTTTGACACTTTTAGCCTTTTATCTTATTTTTTTACAACAATCATGTTCGGACCAGCCTATGCATATCTTGACTCTTCTATTGTAGCTAGAAAAAAATACCTAATATTTTTTTTATCATCCCAAGGATAATCGCAGCTTTACCAATATGCAAATTTCAATCTTTCAATCCTTTTCTCATTGTTTTTTTCTGAGACAAAAACGGAGTTTTAAATCTTTCTATCCTTTTTCACAAGAATAGGTTAGAATCTTGTGAAAATGAGACCTCTACGACCTTACCTCAATAACGCCACTTATTTTGCTTATTCTTGTAGTTTATACATTTATCACCATCATTATGGATTATAAAAAAAATCCAACTTTTATTATTTTCAATCGTAACCTATTTTAAATGGTAAGTAGTTCAGTCTTAAACTATTTATTAGTCTCTCATAGAAAATAATTGAAGACGGGAAGAAATGTAGCATTATATGATCTAATTATTAGGCCTTGTTAGGGAATTAATAATAAAATTGAAATATTGGTCCACACAAAGTTTTGGCCTTAAAAACCATCAAAAATGAAAAGAACTTGAACAATTCTTTTGCCAGAAGTCTTCCGACGTGTTGCCAAAAAACCCTCTGGGATCATACTCTTCCTTCATAGCATCTCATTTGTTTGGCTGTAATACTTTTCTTTATCGTGATATTATAGTCAATTAATTCTAAATCCACAGTTTGCTATATTTTGTATATTTCTAAAATGATAATCTATCAACGTTTAATTTAGACAGAAAATGAAGCAAGTAGGTCACTTCAGGACAGGAGTACAACTTGGGCTAGTTTCTCCACAAAAATGAAACGAAATAAATAGAACCTCCGCTACATATATTAACCGGATATAATTTTCCAGACCAATAGACGATGGCAACTTACCCAACATGCAGTCCAATGGAAAACCTAAATACAACCTAGATGGACTGATGAAGACATTTTTTTTGCAATTAGGTTATGTAACCCTTTCACAAGTCAGGCACATAGCAGAGGTGCCCACTTTACCAATTGAAATGTAGAAGACATGTAACAGCAGATGAAAGAATGTAAGGATGAAAAGAAAGATGTTTACCCTTTCTACTTAATAATGCTTAAATATGTGATTCTCCTCCAAAAGGAATCATTTGCTCTTGGCTGATTTCGATTTTGGTAGCGTCCCAAACACCTTGTCCCAGAAAGAGGAAGTGATACCAAAACCTTTGGTCTGGATGCGAAAATGATGATTCAAATGATATTTCTGCCAAGACAAAACAGGAAAAAGATTGTAGGGTTAAACATCGTTTAATCCTTTTTGTATACCTTACAAGTATCAAAAGATTTCCCACAAAATCAAAGATGAAAAACATCAGTGCTGAATCCCTCATTATCACACAATTGGCACCACTATTGAACATGGGAAAGGAAGCCAGTACAGATCTAAATCCGTCAGTGTCACATAAGCATTTTGCTAGACTGATGCCTCATGATACAAGCAGACATCTCAAAAACTAAGACACTTAACCAGATAAAATCAAAGGTTGATATAAAGCTAGCGTAATATGGGCTAAGCTCATTAGAGAATTACAAATGAGATTGAAAACATTAGAGGGGTGCATCATGTATCGCCACTTACCTTGAGATTTTTTGGCACTTCACTTGTTGGTTGTGCATGATGCAAGTAGTAGTGTGTAACATCATACATGACATAGCCCAATAAGCCTCCTCCAAATAAGGCAGGAGCAGTAGAGGGAGTTGACATGAGTTTGATTAAATTCCAGAACTGCAACGACAAAGCACCGTATCAACTATCAAAAGCTCCGGAAAAGCTCCAGGGAGTTTGGCTTTAAGCGCAAAGCGCAATTTAAGTGTGGCCTTTAGTAAAAAAAAGCGCAATGAAGGAAAAAATATATATAATTCAAGAAAAGAGTAACAATTTCATTCATAATGTTCTTCTTAACAACTAATACACATATGTGCAAATTATATTTTTTTACATACTGATCGGTTTAAAATGAGCCTTTGATAACACTGGTATATACCATCTTCTCTTTTCACTAAATAGAAGGTAACCTCTTAAAACATGAGACTTTTGCCAATCTGTGTGTGTACATATAATTATATCCACATAGGTTATCAGGTAAATATTAAATAAGCTAGTTGTTCAAAAATCAAACATACCGGTACACAAAGAATAGCTGTGGCAGCAGGAGGAAAAACAAGGCGTAGACCATCCATAGGATGCTTGTGATGACAACCATGAAGAAGATAATGAGCCGTGTTTGCCCTGTAATAACAAGTTGCAATTATGTAATATGTCAAAGGATAGAGTCGGAACTGTCAGGACACTAGAAGTGCAAAACTTCCTCCATCTGGAGACAGAAGAGATACAGAGAGTACTTACCAATAGCTCTTCGTCTTTATATGGAACAGGAATCGATGAAGAGTATATTCCATCAATGTCCACACAAAAATTCCAAAAACTACCATCAATGCCACCTCGGGAACAGTATGGCCCATCCAAATTGATACTGAGATACTATAGCATACAACTGGAAGCCAAATGACTGGAATTGCCCACCAAACTGTGCGAGTCAGAAACTGTTCCACAAATAAATCATTTCAATACTACTATAGATGGAGCTCCTGTCAAACAGAAGGATATTACATGGATTCTACTATAAGTACAGGATTCATTTGTCTGACAAAGGTAGATTCAGAGTGTAGCAAGTTTTCTATTTCCCTCGAGCAATTCTTACAAATGAAAGCACTTAAGTATGTCGTTCTCATTTTAGATGGTTGAGCATGGAAAATGAAAAGACTGAATAACAATAGCTATAACAATACATGGGGTACTAAAAGTGACACTGTTGAGTCTCATGGGCGAAAAGAATTAAATAAAGCAATACCTCCCAAAAATCACTTTCAAAAAATCGAGGTCCTTCCTTGCTAACAATAGGCTGATGAACCCATTCTTGATAAGCTTCTCCAAGGTGGCCAACCTGAAAACATATTCCAGAAGTCAAAAAAAAAAATGAAAAGCAGATATCTTATTGGTATGAGACTATGAGTTAGATAAAAGAGTTATTTCTTTTTAGTTTTCCAGTTAGGGAATAATGATAGGGGCTAAAAAATTAGGTTTGACATGACAAACAGAAGTTGGATATAATACAATCACTAGAATTAATTTATTTATCTAAAATGTCAGGAAAGAGACACCTTCTCTTTGTATATCTTTCTTTATTTCTGCTGTCATATTTATTTCCGAGCTCTTAGGCAAGAGAAACAAACATAAGGATTTTGAGGCCTACAGATAACAACAACAAACCAATTGTAATCCCACATGTGGGGTCTGAGGAGAGTAGTGTGTACGCAGACCTTACCTCTACCTTGTGGAGAGGGCCACAGATAGATATATGATAACAAGTTAACAACTGGGACGAGGCATTTACTTTATGAACTCAAATTATAAATAATCTTTAATTACACAAATGTAAAAGATTTAGACCATTGGTAGCAGACAAGCATGAGGAGAAAGAAACTATGAGATAAATTAATGGCAGCATTGACTATGGTTTACTCAACTGATCTTCTAAAGCAAAAATACGAAGAGCTGCAGTTTTCACCTGGAAGACGAGAGCTTTATTTAAATCCACAGTGAAGCCCTGTGCAACCATCGTGGGAGTTTGAAGCTAGTTGAGAGGACACAAAAAAAAAAAGAAGGAAACAGAATGCAATTATGTTAGGAAGCATCCAAGAGAAGATCTACTGCAAAAGGAGACGATGAAAAGTTCCACCATTTGAGTGCAACCATTTAAAGTTACTTTCTCTGATTTGAGACAATATAGGGGAAAATAAAAACCATCAAAGAAGGAGGCAATACCAAAATCAGCCATCCGACGTTGTATATTTTCTTTCTGATTAGATTTGTGTTAAACTTATACTTCCTCTTCAACTTAGAAATTGACGTCTTTCATTAACTAGTCATGTCACTGGGTACATGTATTCATCAACTAGCTCGAAGGATTTGCTAGCTAGTAGACTTCACCCTTAATAATATTTTGGCATATTTCATGCAAGTTTGATTACCGTGATCAAGCAAACATCATTCTCATGATCTACCTGTTCCACAATACACTCATGGAAATTAGAGAAGACATACAATTGTTCTTTTGCAGAGCCTCTGTCCAAGCACAATTCCTCGCTTAGTGACCCATTTTGAGAGGGATAAATATTAAGGTAACAAAAAAAAAATTCTTTTTTTCTTTCTTTTTCTCTCTTTGCTCCTTTTTCCTTTTTTTTTTTTGAAAAGGTTAGTCCCAGCTCAGTTCAGGCATAATGTTAAGTTAAGAACTCAGACATCGTTGTATCTAAACACATATTGATCCAAAAGCAAAGTTTAAGACATGCATTGATCAAGAAGAAAAATAATATTGCCTGACAACACCACTATACCAAATGTCATGTGTAGTTTAAAAAGAAGCCTTAAATCATTTTGCCATTGTCATTACCCTGGTTTGAATCATTAACCTTGTTTAAGTTAAACATTACAGACTGCCTAAGGCTTAAAAGTGAAAAAGAGCCAACATGGAGATATTCAAAAAGAAATGCCTCCGCAATCCAGACTATTTAAGCACTCAATGCACAAATTATCAACAAAAGCTTCTATCAGACCACATATAAAAATGAAAGCTGATAAGAATAGAAAATTTTGAATCAATAATTCACCTAAAGCAACACAGACCAACAAAATAAATATTCTACATACACAATTGATTCATCAGATACTTGATTACTTGCAAATGTAAAACAAAACTGTAACATTTTCAATCATAAAAGATAACCGCAAATGAAATGACTATCCAGAAAGCTGAAGCATTTCAAATATATGGCACTTTTTATAGCTTAGCAGATGAAAAATTAGGGAGCACTCATATTTTTAAAAAAGAAAAAGAAAAACTTTTGCCTTGACGGTTGATACTTAGGGAAGAGCAAAAAAATTTATGATTTTGAAAAATAGGAAAACCAAAACAGGTTTGAGGAGTCCATTACTCAAATGGTCACTCAACTATCCGAAATTATCTGCTAAAGTCACTTTTCTTTCTTTTGTAACAACAAAGTCACTTAACTATGCCTATATCACTCACAAGGTCACTCAACTAGATTTTCCAAATTTTTGATTGTCAAATACCTATTTTACCCTCTAAATTATAAACATTTATCTTCTTTTTATTTTTTTCAACTTTTTAATATTATGATTTTTTCCTTTTTAATTTATATTATGGACTTACCTATATAATAAATAAATTTTATTTATAAATTAAAAAAATAAAAAGTATTTAAGCATATATAATGCTGGAATAACAAAATAATGAGCATAGTAAAAAAATTAATTAGAATAATTTGTTCATAATAATTTTAGTATTAACAACAAAAATTAAAAAATTTATTTACACAATTAAGAATGAAAGAAAATAAAGGTTGTAAAATATATATTCCATGCACGTAATATAAAATAATTATTTAAATAAAAGTATTTTTATAATATACATTATATATGGTTGAAATTTATGCTTATATTATTATTCCGTCATTATATTAGCTGAAACTAATTTTTTATTTTTTATTTTATAAATAAAATATATTTTTCTATAGGTAAGTCCATAATGTAGATTAAAAAGAGAAAAAACTTATAATATTTAAAAAGTTAAAAAAATTGATAATTTAGAGCGTAAAATAGATATTTGACAATCAAAAATTGACCTTCTGAGTGCTGTATGCATAGTTAAGTGACTTAGTTGTTACAAACAAAAGAAAGGTGACTTTAGCATATAATTTCGGATAGTTGAATAATGGACTCAAGTTTTGAGAAACAAAAATAACGATAAGCACTTCTAGTTAACTGGTAAAAGGGAAATCTTAGTAGGTTAGTTGGTTGGCTCACACCTTATTGGTGAGGGTTCTATTCCCCAACTAGTATTGCCCTTCTCCGACCCCTATGTAATTAAAAAATAAAAACTAAGAAAAAGTTAACTGGTAAAGAACCAATCAAATACCTATAACAACTTTGTCAACAAAATCTGAACTTTGCTCTTCATCGCAGAAAAAAAAAATCTGAACTTTGCTCCAAAGTAGTACAAAATTACGAAAATGTGTTTGATTACAAAAAACACAGTGATTTACAGAATTGGCAATCAAATCCACAATGTATCCAGCACTCAATTCACAAGCAAAAGATATAAAACCCCAAAATTCCACACAGTCTTTTTTTTTTAACAGATTTCTTTGGAACCTATTCGGACTTATGTTGTATAAGGCTCATTAAAGCGGAACGCTCGTTATTAAGATTATTTCATTCATAGGCTCGAACACGAGACGTATGATATATCCGGCTAAAATGGGAGATCTACTTCACAAACAGCTAAAGTTCAATAAAACTAAGAGTAATCCAAAGAGGAAAAAAAGAAATTGAAAATAAAACACTTACCCGCAACAATGTTCGTGTAGCTTTATAATTTTTCAGGTCAGATTTTGACTCTGTTGAGAGGATTTCTTAGCAAGAAAGTCTCTCTACAGACCACAAATACTACTAGTCAAAACAGAAAATGGGTGCTGCCTATATAAGGTGAGATATTTTAGGAGTTCAAAAAGAAAATTTGGGAATAAGAATATACTTTTTTCATTTATCTTTTTTTATATCTTTTAGTATTGGAGATGATGATTTGGATGGTTAGATCCTGACCGCAGATTGTGTTACAGCGATTTTGAACATCTCAGCAGATCACGTTCGATTCCTAAGATTGACAGTCTGGCACTCATGCATACAACTCATTCATGTCAACATCGGGGAAATACTGTAGTTTTTTTAAAGTGAGAGGTCCTTAATAGCAATTTGTAATTTTGTCAATTGTGAAAAAAAATGGATTTCAAAGCCTCGCCTAAACTATTATACTTGTTTGTTAGTTCGAAAACGGTCAAATATGCCCATCTATTATAAGAAAAGGATTAACTTACCTTTTGCTATATTATTCATCGATCTATAAATAACCCTAACGTTATACTAGTAGTTCAAATATAGTTGTTCAAGATGGATACTCAACCACATGTAACACTGACATCCTTGTAAGGTGGACACCACATGACCCCTCGTCTTCATTTCTTCAAAACTTCCAAATATGGTTTAAGAAACAGAGCATTTTGATTCAATTAGCATCAGATTTTAATGCCCCAAGTTTGAAGTTTTTTTTTTTGCACCACAAATGTTTAGCATACGAGCACCAAATGTGATTCTTGAACTATGAATCTTTTAGGAGAACTAACGCCGGAGCAAGTTTAAAGTAAATAGAAGAGCAAAATTTCGCAAGGAACTTAATAATGGGAACAACTCTAGTTTTTTTTTTTTTTATTATCCATGTGATTCGGGAAACGATTGAACCATCTTTCTTATCCCAGTGATTTCTCTTTCATGTCAGGATAGGAGGTAATCCCATTTGTTCATCCAGCGAGTTTCAGAATTAATCAATTGGAACTCGATAATAAAAGGGTTGTTCTTGCACGCCAACTATGCCCTTCACTAAATTTATAAAATTACAAAACATTTTAATGATCGAAGTAAATTTAACTGTTAGTAAAAATAAATCATCTTTATGCACCTTCTACACCAAAAAAAAATGTAAAGAAACAAAGAACAAAAGCTCCAAGGTTGAATAACAAGCAAATATTTCTTAGTTTACATTAGCAGACTATGGTCATTCCAAACAGAAACTTGCATCAGCATTGCAGTTATAAGGTGCTAACTGATTTTTTCTGTAAAGGACACCAGCATAAGTGTCCTCAAAAACTTTGCTCTCAGTGGGCTACACCAAAAGCAAAAGAGAGAGCTTTATACAAGTGAAATCAAGACATTGAATTGCACTTTTTCATGTGTTTCAAGATATTTTCGCTAATTATCATCGAACATTTTACATATGGGTTGGGGTGATGACGTGGCATGCCACGTTATGTCCATCTCACTAAAATGTCAGCGTCACGTGAGATTGTATATCCACTTTAGACAACTTTAATGGAGAAGAGATATATTTGAGCAACTAGTATAACGTTAGGGGTATTTTTAAACCAATAGCATAACGAATAGTAAATTTGATCCTTTTATTGTGAAGGGACAAATTTGACCCTTTTTCCTTGTTAGTTTCATACTTAAAACTATAGTTTAGTTATAATATTCATTAACTATAATAAGCTAATAATGTTAAAGTATCCCCTTGAGTGACATCTGGCATAGAACTTGTGTTCCTTTTCTAAGTGGCGCATGAATGCTTAAAATAAAGAAAATTCATGGCTTTATTATGTTCTCTTCTCAATCAGTCTAAGGTTATTACTTTTAGGGAACTACGTGTAAACTTAGGTGTTCTCTCCAGTCTCCACCAATCTGAGAGAGCCTCCTTAATTATAATTGATTTTCTTTATGAGCAAGTAACTCCACCTTACCAATGACTAACCTTGATGGTTTACCTTGCAAATGCTAACTAAGGTTCAAGTTTGGAAAATATGTGAAGATAATAGCAATGAGTGTTTACCCGAAAAATGGATAACAGTTGAATTTATATGCGGCTCTAAGGATACGTGGTATAACTTGGCACAAACTGAGAAAATATATATATTAATATTTGAAATTAACTGTAAAAGAAATAAATACAAACCTGACGAATCAATTAGCCTTGGCCCTCGAGTCACGTCACCCTTGAACTAAGTGAAGATTCCGCTAGTATATGAACAGAGTAACAAAATATTGAACGCTGAAAGAAGACAATGTATTGCTTTGCATTGCGTGAATGTAATACCCCTCTACAAATGATCAGACCCCCTTTATATAGTAGAGAAGTCCTACTCTTAATATAATTCTAAATACAGTAAGGAATCTCGTGATAGGTTAATTAATTGGCCTCTCCTTGATATGCGTCGGGATTTCCGTCGAGATTCTCGCCCAATTGCGGATATTTTGGCTTTCTATTTTTTGGCTCGATAAGCTTTTCTCGATCTCGCTCGATCTCTATTTTGCTCGGTCTCGATCTTGGGCGATCTCGATTTTGATCGGTGTCTATTTTTCTCGATCTTGATCTTGGCCGATCTTGATCTTGATCGGTCTCTAAGTCACGAGCTCGGCAACCTAACTTCGCATCATGGCTCGATATTACATGAGGTTGAACCTTGGTCTATCATGTTCTAGTCTCGATTAGTCATACGAAAGGCAAGCTTGATTTTAACCGTATACATATAGTCCCCTCGTTTCTCGGAAGGAAGATAGCGAGAAACGATATGAATTTCCAAACTCCGACTCGATGGGTAATGACGTCAGCGACGAGCCCGATTATGACGTATGCGACGAAACGTCTCGTCGGTCTAGTTACCAAGGCATTAAATGCATGTCAATTGTTGGTCGGCCATTACCGGTTCCGAATCGTTGCCAGCAACCTATAAGAACCCTAGGTTTTCTCATTCAAACTTTACACTCAAAGCTCTTTCTACTCTTGCTTCTTCTTTAAAAAATCCCTTTGCTTCATAATTTTCACACCCAAATTTCTAGAACTCTAATCAAAACTCATACCATCCTAATTCTCTTTTCCCTTGTTCATCAATGGCGAAAACCTCCAAAATCGTGCCGCAAAAAAAGGCTGCTTCTTTATCACGACCCGCCGGTGGTGAGGCTGCGGTGGAGCCCCACCCTGAGGAATTTGTTCCGGTAGGGTGCCCAACAGTCATTGACTTTAAGGTCGAAAAGGCCTCCTCGGTACCAGGCTGATATGAGCTGTTCTCGAGGTACATATGCTCAATCACCGAGAAAATCTTCGACAAAGTTAAAGAGGAATGCAACTGGGACAAAAAGTATGTGGTAATCCCATCGCCTAACGAATCGATTACTACCCATGTGAAGGGGTTCCTAAGTGTTTACACTTACCCCTTCACGTTGGGTCCTTTAGACCCTATCAACGTCGCCTTCTGCAAGAGATACAACGTGACCCTTGGCCAAATCCATCCTTCCTTTTGGAGAATAGTGATTCTCCTCCGATTCTTCACAAGCAAAATCGAGGGGTGTCTTTTCACCCTCGATCACCCTATGCCCTTTACAGTCCCCGACTTTATCGATGAGGGTTGATCAAGCTTGCTCGCCGAGCCAATAAATCCCCGTTCTTGAGCATAGACGAGGCTCGTGACCGAGGTTGGATGGGCCAGTTTATCCGAATAAGGACTTCGGACCTGATCCCTGCTGAAGACATGTTCCTGAGAAATGGAACATGAATCGTGAGTAATATTTCCCTTTGAACATTCAATTTTGATGTTTTACTTTTCATTTTCTTTCCTTATCTATTTTTGTTTTGTGTTACAGTTGTGGCTCAGATGCCGGAACTCAAGCAATGGATCGAGGGCCTGGTGTCACAGAGACCATACTCCGAGCGTGCTTGGACGGATTTATCAAAAGGTCGATGGGAGGCCCGCAATCATGGTAAGTTTCTCTCTTAGAACGGTTATCGTTCGAGCTTCTTCTCTTGATTACTCCCATTTTTTTCCTTTGTAAGCCTCGGGAAGGATGTTGCAATGTGGCCCACATCTGGTGACGAAGAAGTCCCTTCATTTGCTCCGAAGCATGCCAAAGAGAAAAAGAGAAAAGGGGCTCCGAGTTCCCCAGGCTCATAAAAGAAAAAAACAGCAAGGAAGCCTCACAAACCCAAGGGGGACAGTGGTGCTATGCCTTCGGACTTAGTTCGCCGATTAAGGGATGAGTCCGAAGAAGGAGAAGAGGAAGATAATTCCAAACTAGTGGTCCGTGTGCGGGCTGGTGTTTTGATATAAAAGTCCTCTGAATCGGTGAAGGTTGATGAGGGGTCTTTGGACGAAGTTCCTAAACCAAAAAGAGTTGGGGCCACTCCGTCCCAAGCTGAGATGGTCGAGCGAGAGACCGGGGACGAGGCTTCCCGAGCAGTGGAAGATGTTCCAAGGGACGAACTCGGACTGATCGATATTTCTGTATCCCCTCAGGTTTTGGACGCTATGATCTGTGAGGCCAATATGTTGGAAGGTCGCTCTTATGAGGGTCTTCAGGGGGCGACTGATATCCATGGCTTCTTGGATGGGTTTGAGTCAACTGCCTCGGAGGATGTCACCGGGTTTGGTGGTTTACCGGTACCGTAGAAAGTACCATCATCGGGCGTTACCGGGTCTTCATCGAGCCCAAAATGGGTGGACCGATTCCCGGCCCCAAGTATTAACCCCGACCGCAGGCGGAATATAGTGCTTTTTGTCACGGAGGATACCCGGGTTTTCTCTCCCCCCGTGGGGATTGCTAGCTACCTTAGATCCTTAGTGACAGAGGAAGATCAAGTTGTGATGAACGCTGTGGGAGTTGCTTGCTTGTTTAATGAGGCCCAGCATGCTCTGAATCGGGTAACTTCGAGGGTCTCTCATTATTTCTTTTAAACTTTGGAGTTGTAGATAATTCTAACATCTTTCTCCTTTTTTGTAGGCTTCGGTGTTGCATCATGAGGCTTTCCTCCAAATCCAGGGGGAGCACAATGCTGAGGTTCGGGACCTCACTGAGAAAAGCGATACTTACAAGCTTCTCAGTGAGAAGCTTCAG